ACAGCAAGCGGAGCAGAGCCCGAAGCCTGGAGCACAGCCTGCAGCAGTAGTTCAGGCACGCCATGGCATCATCTCTCCTTCTCCTCCTCTTCTTTGTGACCTCCAGAACTCACAGCTGTTGCCCTAAGACATCGCATGCAGCGTTCCCACCCGGTGAAGTACTGCCCCAAAGGGTGCAGTTGATCCTGGCGATGCCAAGAGGCCGCTGCTCAGCCCCGACCCACCTTCTGAGCAGCAGAGCTGGGTTCTCTGCTTTAATTGCCAGCCTAACTCCCCAGTGGCAATGGCTGCTCCTAAAAGCTACAGCATATGAGACCCCCCCACCACTGTGTTCATAAAAGACCCCTTCGCTTACGGATAAATACTTTAAACCCATGAAGTGCAGCAATAAGATTAATTGATTTGGCTTATTAAGCCTTGCTAACCCCGTGACGATGGTGGCCAGTCCCACCTGTCCCTCCACACGCCGTGTTCCCTGGGGCTGTCCTCCTGCCACCTCACACATTTACTTCACCTATACCTGTAGTTAGTGCCAGGGTCTTTTTTTTTCCCCAGCAAACCTGCCTGGTTTATCTGCTATGTGAAGGTCCCAAGAAGCTGGCCAGTACGTATTAAATCAAAGTTCCCCGACAGCAAACCTCTGAGCAGCTGATTCCCCTGGCTCTGATCCTGTTCACGCAGGTGTCCTAGCAAACCTTAATCCAAATCCTTTGACAGATGTTTCAGGGAGCTCATAAAAGGGGAGTGTGATGCAAGGACTGATGTTTCTGTACAATAGAGTTAAAAACAAACTAGAAAGAGAGAAGAAGAAAGTCCAGCTTCGTTCCTGCTGGTGCCGGATCCCCTGGCAGTGCCTCACCGGAGAGATGCAGAACACCGTGTGTGTTACCTCGGCTGAAGAATTCACACAAGTGGCCCAGAAGTTACAGACGAGCCCTTGCTTAGCGTATGGGCACATACACAGGAAGGGAGAAAGAGCTATACAAGTGTTCCTGGGTGACATTTCCCCCTGCCAAAAATCAGTATGGTTTTATATGTGTACAAGCAAGAATAACCCCTCGCAGCCTCTCTTCACAGGGCAATTTAGGGCCCGAGCACCAGCAGAAAGTGCATCTCTGGACCCTCCCTGTCCTCAGTACCCACCAACTTTGCACAGCTCCCTGTGCCCTGTTTCACTGCACCTTCTTCAGCCTTCCTGCACTATCCACCACCCAAGCGCTGCCACCTTTGCCAACACGCTGCAGAGCCTTTCTGCCCATCCTCACCCTTTTCTTTAATCACCATATTCATGTATTTACACGTGCCAAGTCAAAAGCTGGGGCTGATCCCCGCCTGATCGCTCCGCATGTGCCCTCCACTTACCCAGCTGTTCCCTGCAATAAGAAATAAAGCTCGAAGCAGGAGCGCTGGCAAAGAAATCAAGTGCTCTTACTCACTGGGCTCAATACCCAGTCCCAGGCAGGACAGGGCGCTAAACTGCAAGGGAAGATTTCTTGGTATGAACAAGCGTACAGCAGAAAACATCCCTCCATGGGAAGCCTCAAGATGCTCAGTGGCATGTTCCTGTATCAGAAAGGGTCCAGCTCGTGTCCTCCACACCACCGACATGCCAATGCAAATAGCAAAGTATATAACTTTTCATCCTCATGCTTAAAATAAGTGCTTCTAGGCAAATGAAGTATGCAAAGAAAAAGCAGGATTTGCTAGGGGACATAAGAAAGGTCAGTGTCCACATGGCCAGAAAGAGACCAGCGCATGTTCAGCTCAGTTGGGTGAAAAGGACAAAAAGTCCTACCAGGTACCTTGAGAGAAGAGGAGGAGGAGGAGGGCGTCCTCCTGGAGCCAGTGATGTCTTGTAAGGGAAGGGCAATGACAATGAGAAGACCAACGCACTGTCCTGATGCTGCATCCCAAGGCTTCTGCCAGATCACAGGGCACAGAGCTGCCGGACAGCAGAGCTCACCACGCACGGACCCGGAGCAGCTAGGGATGAAATCTAAAGGTTGTCCCTGCTGAGAGCTGCATGGATGACTTTGGATGGGACCAAGCCAGGCACCTGGGCCAGACGACCATCTCCTAACACGGTCAGAAAGGTGTATACAATACAGTCACCTTCCCAGCCAAGTGACAGCCCAAATTTAGATGAACTTGGGCCACAGCACTGATGTCTCTGCTGTTCCTGCAATCTACTCTGCGTGGCAGGCATTGGTGTCCCTGCTTTAACTCAAAGACTGCCTTTAACTGCTCGTAGGTGCCACTGAAGTGTCATGTTCCCAACTGCTGCGGGCATGGGAACCCAAACACGCATCCTTCACCCAACAACTGTGAAGTTATATCGGAGACCCAGACCTCTCACTTCAGTCAAGTGCAAGATGCTGGCAGGGAGAGACAGAAACCACGCACACAACTAGTGACAAAAGACCCTCTTCTTCCAGAAGTGGACTTCTAAGCACAACACATTCACACTTGACCTGAGAAGGCTGAATTTGGGAAGGGCTACAAGCAGGGAGGGCTGCATTTGGATGTCCTCAGCTGGAAGGGAAGCAGGACCCCATGCCATAGCTATAAAAAGCCACTGCTAAGTATTACCAATGTACATGGGTTTATCATCAACAACAGTCTCTGCTTTAGATGGCCATTAGTTAGCTCAGCATGTTATGTCCGCAGCCCCAGGATAGCACTAAGGTGCCCATTTCCACGTTGGGGCTCCCCAGTTTGGACTCCTATCATGCAGGTGAGCAGCTTTGGGTGCACAGGCCACATTCCTCCATGGTGGGATGGGAGGAGGACTAAGGCAGCCGCTGACTGATGGGTGAAAGCAAACACAATCCAAGGAGCAGCACTGAGACTCCCAGGAGTGGCTGATGGCTGATCGGAGAGGCAGCCCAGACGGGTCACGGCTGGGAAGGCTCTTGGGTCCTCCAGTGCTCAGATGATGGAAAGCGCTACGGTGAGCTCGGATTAGGGCGAGTGGCTGCTCATCAAAAACATCTTAGAGGGCGCATGCCTGCTGACAAGGGAAAAGCCTTTGTATCCAAGTGGTTGTGCATCTTTTCCTACCCTGCTCCTATCTCCAGGAGTTCCATGTACACCCAGGCACAGATTACAGAGCATCGCAGCGGGAGAGCATCCCTCCATGTGCTCTGCCTGCTGCACAGCGCTGGCATCTTGGCTGGGGACAAGTGGGGCTCCTGGGAGGTGTCGAGCTGAGTGCTTGGCCATGGCAAGGCCACACAAGTTGGATGAGAACCTGATTCACGCCATGGTTAGATGATGCCATCTCCTGCTGAGGGTCTGGTGGCTGAAACAGAGACTTGGGAGGATGAGGGAAAGCTCTCTGGCACCGGCTGTGGTCCAGCCTGGCAGGATTGGAGATGGCTGTCACCAGCCCCGTGGTGCTCACCGCTCCAGAGCGGCAGCGAGAGTTTGCTGAGGGCTGTGCTTGTACCGCCTAATGGACCCAAATTCAGCTGTGAAAGCACACAGAGCTGCCTGCTTCAACCACGTTAAGCGCCCAAAAGACAAGAGGAAGCTTTGCTCCACGTGAAGGCTAGGGTGTGTCTTTAACAGCCCAGCCCGATGAGATGTGGGTCGCTCGGCAGCTCAACGGGGCCAGGAAGCCAACATGCCAGCGCTGCTTCCCGGCCAAGGTGATCAGTGAGGCAGGACCTCGCGTCTTTACAGGTGGCGTCTTGAAATTTAGCCCAGGATGAAGCCACCATGCCTGGGCAGCCCTGCTGCAAGGCAGCGTAGGCTTCTTCTAGGAAGAGTCTCTGCTCGGCTGGCTGTGTGCTGCATCTAGTGCTACCAGCACCCTCAACTCACTTTTCGTTTGTATCCATTTATTGGCCTGACGGTGCTAAATTGTACGCTTTAAATACAAAAGCTATTAGGACTGAGAAGGTCTGAAGCACATACTGGTTTTGAGATTTTTATTTCAGGAAAAGATTAAAGAATTAAAATAGGAGCTGCCCTGCTGACAAGAAGAGTTGAATTCAAGAAGCTGATAAAAAAGGAGCATTATATGCATTGAGCACTGTGCATTTTCAGTCAATATTGGCTCTACTTTCTAGTCTACTGTCCTTTGACTAGGAAAAGGGAGTTTCACATGCGCACAGACCCTGGGATACACGGGACTCAATGAGAGGAAGGGAGTAACAGCAAAAAAAAGAGAGTGCTGGGCTTGATCTAACAGAGGCAAGAAAGTGATCTTACAGCTCGGCCCCCGAAACACCGACTCCGACCACCAGCGAGACGGGAAGCAAAGACACGCCGATGGGGCGGACTCAACGGTGCATGTGAGTATCTGCAGCTCCCTATCCATAACCACCCGGGCAGCCACCAAAGCTCACCAGGCTTCGGTATCGCCTACATTCAGGATACGGCACAGTCATGGGGCAGGAGAATCATTTCTTGCATCCTTCTCCAGCGAGATGTCAGTGTTGTACCTCCAGGCTGCGTACGCTGGCACGGACTTGCGCTCCCCGACAGCTTCCCCCAGGTTTTCCCCCCTTGTAGGTGCAAGTAATGCAATCGAGATCAATGGTTAGATTAGGCTCCTGGCGTGCTCTGAGCACTGGGTCTCTTGACAGCAGTAAGAGCTAGGTATGGCCGATACCACCCAGGCCCTGCTTGCATACCAAAACGGTTGGTACGACAGAGCTAGCTTATTAACAGGCTACTGAGCCTTAATACTGACACTTAGTGTAAAGGTTTACAGTAAAGGAAGGATTCTCCTACAAAGCGCCGAAGACGGGGAAAAAAACCCCACCCCGATCCCTTCCTCTCCCTCTCAGAGTCTCTGGAGCATCTCACAAGCAAGGAAAGGAGCCGGGGAGGCGAGGGGGCGGCGGGGGGCACCACCACCACGGCGCCAGGTCCCGTCAGGGGCGTCAAGACGAACGACAGCAAGGACAGTCGTAAGGAACGAGAGACAAACGGTGCTGGTGCTGTGCTGCCTCAAGCTGGGAGGTGCGCGTGGTCAAGCGGAGCGGGGAGAACTAGTCTTTCTTCAAGTCCCTGGATTCAAAAAGCTTCAGGCGTTCTTGCACAGTCAGGCCTTCCTTCAGACTCTGGGAGAGACAAAAGACAGACAGCGTCGGACACGGGCGAGCGGGAGGCAGCGTCGGGCATCTGACACACAGAAAGGGTGAGACGCTCAGGCAAAGGAGACGTGGGCAGCAGGAGAATGGCCTCCTTGGCGGAGAGATTAGTGGGACATGCTAAGAGAAAACACACGGTTATGGAGGGCGGTTACTGGTGCATGGCGCCTAGAGAGAGGGTGAGATTGCAAATGAACCAGGTGACGTACCGGAAGCAAATGAGAGGCACACCATGCTGAAAGCGGGATTAGCTCAACTCAGAAAATGACCCCCGGAGCCTGTGGTGCAGCGGTGGCTGGGACAATTTCAGTGGAGCTCCAGCACTGCAGGAGCCCCGGCAGGTCAGCTCGGATCTGCTATGCTAAAGCACCACGCTGCCGAGCAGGACCTGCACGCCGTTCCTCCCCACCTGTCCACACCACCGCAGCACCGACTGAACATGCATCCGTCTGGGACACTCCTGGCTCCGGTCAATGTGCAGGCTTTGCTCAAGCAGCCCTGGAAACTGCATTTTTGTTGCCAATGACAATCCCACCCTTTCTCTAACCCCAGCCTGGGGGCTCTCCCAAGCCAAAGCTGCCTCTACTGCACGGGGTTAGACAGAGGACTCGCTAAATGCTTGCTTCAGGTCTAGCAGGATCTGATGGCTGATCCAATTCAGATGCAGCATCCGGATTTCAAGGCACAACACTCAGCTAGCCACCCCGCTAGCCCTCGGCATTTGGATTTGTAAAATCTCTTGCCTACACATGGAGACCCAGAACAGCAATGTGAGGGGTAGAAACTGAGAAGCAAATTGCTTGCCCACTGTACAACAGCTTTAACCTGAAACTAGCCCGAGGAGACGCACAAGTCTAAAGTCAGCCTTCCCTCCTACCTGCAGCACCAAAGCTATGGGGTAAGAGTTTCAGGGGAGCAGAGCACCAGTGAGTTGTCCCTGCTTGCTGCTGCTGAGGAGGCACAGACATCTCCCCAGCCCACAGAGCACTGGCTCTGCCCCCAGGCCCTGTAAAGGCTTTCATTGCTGGGCTGCATCTGCTCTGGGACAGTTACCCCACAGGTAACCGCTGCCTGCAAGCCAATTCCTGCAACTTGCAAGGACTTCACTCTGCAGCTGGAAGATTATTTGCTTTACAGACCAAGACGTGGTAGATTCAAAAGCACAGACCTGTACGCAAAGTGCCTTTATCAAGGGGCAGCCATCTCCCCTTTTGCTTTTACTTCCCTGACTGCGGTGCCAGAGGACTGTACAATCACAGCAGCAGGTTAGACTTTTGGGGCTGGGTTTTGTTTAACGTGTGTTTATCAAGGCAGGACTCCATGATAAACTTGGCCTGAGGCTGTGCAGATTCCCATGGTTACTGTATTTCTTTAAATGTTTCTCCTCCCACAGGCCCACAAATACAGAACAGCTTTGGGAAGCAGCACGGAAATGAAATGACTAACATGGATTGGTCTGAATTTACAAATGCTGTATGCTTTCTTTTCAATGGGCAGCAGAGTCTCTTGGGATTTGAGTCCCTGAGCACACACTTCCTAAAGGAAGTTTACTTTGGGCCTCTTTAAATGGGCAGCAACCCCTGCATTCCAGTTTGTATATCTGACTTCTCATTAGCAGGAAGGAGACAACAGAAACCATTAGACTATTCTGCCTGGTGGTACAAATTCCAGCAAATTCACCCCTTAGGCAGTCTCACAACCCATTTGAGTTCCTGATGAAGGAAGTCTAATGTGGGATGAAATCTGTGATAAAGGGATCCTCCATCAGATTTCCTGGGGCTCTCCAGTCACCTCCCAGCCACCGTGCTGGGGAGATCCCCTCTTTTCTCTAACCTCCTGCTGCACGTGCTCTAACCTCAGTCTTTACCATGGGCCAGTAAATTAACTATTGCTCCAGTTACTCGAGATATTTTGGGGCATTAGGATCAGCCTCATTTCTCATCAGCTCCTTCCTTTTGCTGGATGAGCTCGGAAGCCTCAGGCCAGGGTGTGGGATGGAGGCACAGTGCCAAGGGATGGAGAGCAGCGGGGTTGGACACGGGAAGCTGGAGGAAGCCTGGAGAGCAGGAGGAGGAGGTTACTGGGCAAGGAAGACTCTTTTGCTCAGGCACAGATCAACCTAAAGAAGCAGCAATTATGGGTAAAGGAAATTTAGGGCAGACCAGGACATCCCCTCTGCAGCTGAGATGGGGGCCACCATTTTACACGCTACAGGCCTTTGTGGGAAATGCATTTATAGGCATCACTGACCCACTCCTCCGTCTGGCTAACGGCAGAACAGCTATTTTTCCTACAAGACCTGGATGTTGCTGAAGTTTAGTCTGAGGCATGCAGTGTCATTCAAGCATGCACACTCAGTGTCCCGCGCTCCCAACACAGCCAACAGGAAAACGTGCCCCACCGTGTCCAAATCCTCTCCATGATGGTTAGCTGTGTTGGCGAGGGTGGGAGAAGCAGGAAGGCAAGAAAGCCATATTCCCCAGGGAAGAGCCAGAGAGACTGCATTTGGGTTCGCTTTCTCCCCTTCACTTTCCCCTCCTCCCCCAGTAAAATAATTAGCCGTAAATAAACCAGTCAGTCATTAAGAGAAGAAGGGCTCTCATTTGCCGTGGAGGTGTGAGCAGTGCATGCAAAAGTGGGCCACTCCAGTGGGCAGCTGCGTCGCTTGGCGGGTGCCGGTTTGTTTACCTACGTGGCAGGGAACCTGGACTCGGGTTCATTTCAGTTATCCCATGAGACCTGCTCAATAACGGACTGTTGAAGGAAAAAGCAAAATAAAGAAACAAAACAAAACAAAACAAGAAGCTCATAAATCCTAAATGCATTGGCGTTCGCACAGCCCCAGCCCTCCCGCCCTGGCAGCGATGTGAGCAGGCAGCACGCCCAGGCAGAGCCCATGCTTGCTCTCCTCTCCTCCTTTCCCCACCAAGTAACACGCATGGGGGACCACGAGATAAATGGTCTGAGTTGGAAGTGGTGAAGGGAAACCCAACATCAGACCTGGCCCAGCAGGTCCGGGCTGCCCCTGAAATGCAGAGATGTTTTCTGTATTTATTCGGTGCAGCGCAGACGTCCCAAGCTGATGACCTGCTGGTCACAAATCTTGGGTGGTGACCGTTTCCCCGGCATGGGGACCGAGCTAGAGGCCTTTTGCCTGCCTGGGTTCTCGCTCTGCCCAAAGTCCCAACCACTTCGAACACCAGCATGAGACACCATGTATCCAGTGGTGAGAGGCAAAGCAGGTTTTGCCCATGCTGATCTTCCTTCCAACTGACCTATGTTTAACGATGACTTCTCAGCAGCTTTATTTGCCCTTTTTATCCCTGTGGTCCCACAGGAACAGCCAGCGTGTAACATGACGCAAGCATGTTACAGGTGAGCTTGGCACAGCATCACTGGGCTTTGGGACCAGCAGCAAGTACAGAATGGCCAGAGAAACACAGGGCCATCTGCACCATGTTAACACACAAGCAAAGCGTGTGTTAAACACGCCCAGGACCAAGGCATCGTCATTCCATATAAAGACCAAAAATCTTGCAGTGATGAACACTGTAAAACCTAGAATGATGTGCACATTTCCACTTATTGACACCACCTAAATTTCAACTGAAAATGGGGAGCAAATACTGGGAGTCCTCCTGTGAAAGACCAAAGAATAGGGTGAACTTCATCCTTTTTTAAGCGAGGAGCAGCTTCACGCCTTGCAGGGTCAGGGGTGTGTGTGCCCTGCCGGGCGTCGCGGGGGGGAGCGGGCCCTGCCTGGGTGCATGGCCAGCCGTTCCACAGTTGAAAGCTCACTTTTCTCCCCAGTGCCATCCAGGCTAGCACTAGTGACCGGGAAATTCTCAGTTTTTTTTCCCTACCAACTTCTTCCCCCCCGGGCCCCCCACCAGACAGTAAGGCTGGGCATTTTCATCACATGGGGAAGGAGATCTGCACTCACCTTTGACCTGATATTCCTTAGTTGCCGGCTAACACTGGATCTGTCTTTCTTCAAGAAATCAGGGTTGCTTTTTGATTTCATAATATCTGGGGAGAAACAAAAGAAACAGTGTTAGCGTGGTGCCCGTGGGCTTCCTGCAAGCAGCAGGACTGGGGGTCTTCTGTCCTCCCAGCCTGGCCAAGTGCCCCAATGAGCCCGACTCAAGCAGCACTGCTGGAAGGGCAGAGGGGACTCTCGGGGGTCTCTGCTCCCCTGCACTGCGTGTAGCATGAGGTTTTCCCAATGCAAAATGTCAGGCGGCTTTCAAAGCCCACCAGCTTCCCATCCATGGGGCTGGAAGGAGAAACTGCCAGGGGAGGGCAATTCAGGTCCGCCTGGTCCCTGCTGTTTCCAGTGAGACTGTTTGCAAGGAGCAGCATGAAACGGCACAAAAGCACCACTCAGACCCATTGCTGCCCAAGGACTTTATGCTAGGATGTATGTGTTAGCTCAGGAAACCCATGATTGCTTAGAGCCACTGGAGGAGGACTGACCATATCCCGATACAGTGGTGTTCACAGGGGATTTCTCTCCCTGAGCTTCTGTGGCTGCCTTCAGCTGCTCTTTCAACCTGCTGATATCACAGTCTGCCTTGGCCTTCACGATGCTCAGCTCCGTGTAGATGTCTTTGTACTTGTCGCTGGCGTATTTCTTATCCTGGCAAAGGAACAAGAACAACCCAGCGGAGTCAGACAGACAGACAGCTGGAGCCGAGGGGGTTGTGAATGCACCGAAGAGGAGCTTGGCAAACGCCGATGGCAGAAGAGCCAGCAGCGGGGAGAAATGTTCAGCCAGGGCAATGCATTTCACAGACGCTCTCAAAGCCGTGTCTAACCGTGGTACAGGACTCAAGATAGGCAGAAAGCTGTGAGCCCAGCGGCGAGCATGCAGCGCTGCCTGTGCATGCAGCCCCTTCGTTACAGGATTGTTTGTGGGTTTTAATTTTAGCAAAGACACGGAATTCAAGCAGAATTCCCAGAAATGGCCTTGGCAAAGAGGCCGTCTAGAGCAAACCAGATTCAATGCTGGGAGGCTGGGCTGATCTCTACCACTGATTATTTTTGCCATTTCAAATCTGATCTGATGTGACAGGAAATAGGGAAAAACACTGAAGAGGATGTTTTCCCACAAGAAGAGAGAAGGAGTAAGTCCTGAGCTGATACAGTCATGGAGTGCTTTACTGATCACACTAAAATGGGTATTCAGTTCCATTCAGGGGAAAAATTAAATGTTGTTTCAAATGTGGGAATAAGTGAGCTGAAATCTAAGCACAGACACACACAGGAGCAGAGCACAGCCCCTAAGAGGATTTGCAGGAATGTCCCTGGGCATTACCCTCAGTGCCGTCTGCAGCTCGTCTTTGAGGGAGCTGATCTCCTGCTTCAGGTACTGGATTTCCGATTCTTTGACCCGCAGCAGGACCTGTGGGAACAAAAGCAGTGCATGTTCCGACCCGAGCAGACACAGTGCGATCCCGAGATGCTCGTCCACTGCGCCTGGTGACAATCGAGCCGGGGCTGGGAGGCTCGGTCCCGCGCCAGCTCCACACCAGCACTGCAAAGCTGCTGGTTCACCCGTCTTCTGGCTCACGCAAGAAAATTACTCCCGGGTCTCGTGGGACCTTGCCCAAGCTTGCACCACTGATGTGCTCCCTGCACACCCCTTGGTTTCTGTTAGTCCCCACTGCTTTGTACGGACTGGATCCCAGGAGACAAGCAGGGGATGGAGAAGGAAGAGTTGGTGTCTGGCTCGACATGATGAGAAGGGAAGATTAGGACTCCAAAAGCTCCTGGCCCCATTGCACCCCACGATGCACAGTGCTGAGCAGCCACACAGACCCAATGCGTGGTGGGACGGATGGCTGTGGCAGCGGCAGAGCTCACCTCCAGCTCGTAGGCATCCTTGCCCTGCGTGAGAGGCGATCCAGCAGCCTCTCCCCCGCCCTCCCCGGTCAGTAGGGTCCGCAATCGCGTGATCTCCGCAGCCAGGCGGTTATTCAGCTCCTAGGAAGAGGAGAGAGCCATTGTGGAAAGGAGGAGCATGGCCATGGCTCGGCACAGAGCCCACCACGTAGTTTGCCTGTCACCCCTGACCGCGCCGGCTGCCCCGGGCATGGCAGGGACCCTCACCTGGTTGTGGGCGTTGAGCTCCTGGTTCTCCCGCTGGCACTGGCGGAGGGCCTGCCTCTCAGCCTCCAGCGCCTGCGCCAGGTGGGCGTTCTCCAAACACTTCTGCGAATACTGCTCCGAAAGCACCTCCAGCTCCCGCTGCACCGACTGCAGCTCCTCCCTGGCAAAACACACACGGGGTAGTGCCCTCCCCACGCACACCCACCCATGCCCACGCTTCCTCCAGCACCACAGGAGAACCCAGCAGGGATCTAAGCACTGAGGAGGAGGACTTGCACGCTCCCTCTGGGAAAATCCTCAAGCCCAGAGCGAGCCAGCCCTTCCCTCTCCTGGCACCACCAAAGGGGACAGGAGGTGTCTCTCTAGGCTGAATGGCAGGACTTCCTCATGTTTCCAAACACTGACTGAGATCTATCAGGTTTGCTCTGGGCACTCAGGACACCTACACAACTGACGCAGATGCATCAAGGTTACTAAAGCTGCTTGGCTGTGTTGCTCAGCAGCCACGTGAGGACAGCCTTGCTATGAAAAGCTAAGTGCCTTCTCCTCACCTGGTTAGATTTTGCTCCTCACATGAAGAGCAGCATCGTGTCTGCACATCTGCTACTTCTGGTGACCATAAAGCAGCTGAATTTGGGTAGTATGGGGACATTGATCTGGAGCCTGAAAGATTACAGGCAACCAGGAGTCTCCAATGGGTGCAGCTGGGTCGGGACCAAGGGAACAGGTCCTCGCGACGACAGGTCTGCCCTTAACTCATTGCTGAAATCAAAGGGTAGAAAGGGGTCTCCCACATGCTTGGATCTCCCTGCAAGACACAGCGACAGACGGAGGACAATGGTCTTACAGGTATTGCCTTCGGAGGGCCTCGATGTCGGCATTGACGCTGCTGATCTGGGAGCGCTGGGACTTCTCCAGCTCTCGCTCCAGCTCCTCCCGGTGTGCGTTCTTCATGGCTTCGATGGCTGTGTGGGACAGCAGAGTGTTAGCACGCAACACTGCTCCACCCAAGGGCAGGTTTTTTGAGTTTTTGTTTTTTAAAGGTACAAAACCTGAGTCATCCCAGCAAACTTCCCACTGCTTCGTGGCCCCTTCAGTCTGTGCCCCTGCCTGCAGCTTCTGCAAATCCCACTTTTTAATGAAGTCCAAACCATCGTCCAATTCACATGTTGATTCCTGAATTGTGGGACTCCTAATACAGAGACCCTGGGCTCCAGCACTCTAAAACTCCCTGGGGCACTGAAGAATGAATTCAGTGTGGAATCGGCAATAAATTAACCACAGGAATGACTAACGCTGTTCTGAGATGGAATGGAAAACGGATCAGACCCTGTGATCCACACCCAGCCCTCATCCCACCCCACGTTCTGCTCCTCCACACAGGAGCGAACACCATCCCCATGTCCCCATCAACACGGAGCTGCCCCACCACAAGGGACCCTCTGGTGTGTCCCCATACCTGAAATGGTGGCAGCCGTTTCTTCTGCCAGCAGGCGGTCTTTCTCCTCCCGCAGCTTCTCCAGCTCCCGCTGGTGCTGCCGCTGCAGGCACTCGGTCTTATTCTGGTGCGTCTCC